TGTCCACTCAAATAGAACTGTTCCCCCATTATCCCCCATCGTGACATTAGCTCCACAGCGAATCCAGTATGGTGATGTGGACCAGATCTCGTTTAACTCAACGGCGATGACATAGCGGGGATTTTCCTCCCCTTGGAACTGACCGTTTACTACCCACTGAGGCAAGTCGTCATCCAGAGAAAGGTTCAATATAGTAATTTTCCCCTTAGTCCTCCACTCCCAGTCGCGACATTCAAATTCGCCTCTACCATGTAAACGTCCTTCAATCACCGAGGTGATGACACCCCCGTCTCTACCAATTGTCTTTTTGCTGAAGGCACATCGTAAGGAACAATCGCTTTTCAAGACAAAGTTACCTGGGTATTTCTTCGCGTAATTGAACTGAAGAAAATCTCTGTACTCTGCCATTACATCTCCGTTAGCTGTAGTATAATATCCGTCACTACTGATCAAAGTATACTCCTCTCCCTTCTCTTTATCCAGAAGGACTGGCGTCTCACACCGTTTGTTATAGAATGGCGGGTATTCAGGCACGTCTATGACTACGATGATGAGGGTCACGTACAAGACGTTCTCGTTCCCGGTGTTTGTCAGTTCCACCGTCAGGTTGTACCGCGAGCACAACTGGTAGTCCAGCGGAGCCGCTACGACCAGCGCCCAGTCCTCAGCGCGAACCCCGAACCGTCCCCAATCGTCTCCTGTGGTGATGTTGACTGACCAGCACGTCCCACTGTCGTCGTCAGCAGAACTAACCAGGCTGGCGGCAACAAGAGAATCTCTCAGCCGCACCACCGTGCTACCGACTGGCGCATCCTCCGGTATTTCCGTCACGTTTTTAAGCTGGACTTTGGAGATAGACGACATCTCAGCCAGCAGAAATACAACACAGAGAGTAGCGATTAGCGCCATCTTCTCTCCGCAGAGCAATGGCCCTCTGGTAGTAACTGATCCACACTCGTCTGTTTCTTTGCTTTGACAACAGGCAGGTTGTTTGCTATTTGCTATTTCTTTTTTCCTCTTCCTTCTTCCTTTGTCATACCGAACACTTGCTTACACCTGTTGAGAGTTAAACCATAACAACAATGTTATGCTCTGTCAGCTCTGAAATATTTCAAGCGAGCTCGGCAGAGCGAGTGAAAGATTCTAATGAAACTTACTGCATGGACGAAACACATTAAAGAGTCACAGTTTATTTTACTGAAAGATGAAATGGCAATTAGTTAACAAGAATAGAGTACTGAAAAATTGGTATTAGTCGGTATAAGTTGCCGTCTACCAGTGAATGCTTCTTTTCTTTGCACAGTGAATGGTTGCATTTAGACGAATTTGAATACCTGTTGCCATCCACGCATCACTTCGGTTTAAATATACTAGCTCAGCCTCATTTATTAGTTGTTATCCGTCCAGTCTTTGTCGCCTGACAGCAATCTGACAACATTGTAACCACATAGAAACATGCCCCGCGAAAAGGAGTTAACCTTTTACACACACACGCGATCACGACTTCTGATAGAAACCTGGCTTGCTGACAAGAGCTTGCATAGCAACCTTCCGTCTCACTATTATTTGTTATGGCTTCAGCACAAAGTGGTGCTTCTGAAGACATATTGCTTTCTCTCATGTTTCTTCTTCTCCTCCTTCTCCTGCCATTTCGTTAAATGGATTCAATTTCTGTATTAGCCAAATACCCCCAGGTGTTTTTTTCTTCATTTTTTTGAAAAATTGTTTTATTTTTTTCTGTGGAGCCCTGGTAATAAAACCAAATGACCTGAAATTTGGTATGGGGATACCTTGGACATATGTCTACAAAACCTCATTCAAGCTTTTGACATACCTTACTTCGAAATTGTGGAAAATAGGGCTTTTATTGGGCTATTTTCGGACAAAGAATTTACATTGTTGGCTCCTGTGCCCCAAATGACCTGAAATTTGGTATGGGGATACCTTGGACACATATCCAAAGGATGTCATTCATACTTTTGACATATACCACTTTAACATTGTACAAAATAGTTTTTTTGGCTATTTTCAGGACCAACTAGAGTTACACGATCTCATACCTTCGCCAAATGATGTTACACTTAGGCCTTGACGAATGTTGACGATTCGCATTAATTATGCAAATTAGGCATTCATTTGCATAAACACTACCTGCCAATGTTCTTCTTCACAATTACACATGCCACACGTTTGAATAATCATATCATGGAAGGTAGCAGATTTATAGCATTTCCTCATTAATTATGCTAATTAGCTGCTGATTTGCATAACTATCATTTTCATATGTCAAGCATTCTTTAAGGTACCCACATACCAAAAAGCATGATGATCCGTCAATCTGTTCTTGAGTTATCCTCCTTCCAATATTTTTCAACGAATACTTCTGCAGTTCCAGAACAAGCCGCTAGGGGGTCCAAACCCATGTCACTTCTTCCCCAGCCAAAGAGCTACCTATCATCCAAATTAAATGACCCTACCATGTCCAGATCACGAGATATCAAAACCGGAAGTTCTGCTGCAGTACCATAACAAGCCGCCAGGGGGCCCAAAATATAATCAGTTCCAGGTCTCATCAAGACCTACCCACCTACCAAATATAAAGACAACCCATCTTAGCCTTCTTGAGTTATCGTGTTGACACACACACACACAGACACACGAACGCCAACGAAAACATAACCTTCTTGGCGAAGGTAAATATATGGTACATACATAAGTTACAGATTAGTATAATGAACCAAGGTCTCAACCAAAACTGAACAAAAATATAATACAATACAATGTAGGTGTACAGAGTGAACGCCAGCATTTGTCACTCATTCATTCACTCACACACACACACACACACACACACACACACACACACACACACACACACACACACACACACACACACACACACACACACACACACACACACACACACACACACACACACACACACACACACACACACACACACACACACACACACACACACACACACACACACCACACACACACAGACACACACATGCACACACCACCCACACACACACACAAACACCCCGCATTGACTTGTGCCTGCCCCTGACAGCCGCCGCAGCTGAACGTGCCGACCGTCTCCCTGGCGTCCCCCCGGTCCTCCCCGCAGCTCCCGCAGTAGTCCCTCTCAGTTCTGTCCGCCATGTAAGTCGTCTGTTGGGGGGAAGGAGTCCGTTTGTTAATGACTGCAATTCTCTTAGTCTCTTGAGGGCCTACATGGGGGTCCTGACAACGCTCTAGGCTAATTTTTGGGACCTGGCTACGTATTTCGCTGAATTCAGGAAACCTCTATGCTGAATTCAGGGAACCTCTCGATTACGCTTTACGATAAATTCCAAGTGGCTACAACCGTACGTAAAATGTGCCAATTACGCTCTACGTTGAATTTGAGCGGTCTGTCTACGCTTTACGTTGAATTAAAATGGCCAATTACGACCGATCCGGGAACGCCCGAAAAGGAGGCTAGGATTCAGCGTTCAGTTCCGTATGAAACCTGTGACGTACTTCCACCTCACGTATCCCCTATTGTTTGCTTCCGACGCTTAGGTCATGGCTTTAACGTACATGTAAGCCCAGAGTACTGTTTTCACTTTCACATCCGTCACTAGCACTAGTATACAGCACTGCTTCTAGCTGCAACAGTCGCCGTTCCCTCACCCCAACCTTAATCGCACAACAAGGTGCCCATGTTTTCTGTTTTGATGTCTCTTTACGGATCCAATAGAACCAGGTAAGTTGCAGTGCGTGTATGTAAAAAGGGTAGCGGCTGTCGATCCTGCAACCCTTAGCTAGTGTTCCACCAATTAACCCTTAATTTCTTGTAGTGTCCTTGGATGTCCTTGTAGTGTCCTTGAATGTTGGATGACCTTGAATGTCCTTCTCAGTGTTAGATATCAATTATCAAATCAACCGTAACTTCATCTACTCCGTGACAATATGCCCCCCCCCCCCACACCATTTGTGTGATTGTGAAAGTGAAAGTACTAAGACGTACCCTCTTTTGTCCGGGTCTACTTTCATTGGTTTGTTCAAGTACAACCTAAGACATTGCGATGATCGGATGTACTAAAAAGATAAAGCAATATTTGACCTGTCGAACACACTAGTCTTTACATCTAACGTTATGGACTAATTTCCGTTTGCTAAGGCTCTTAATCAGGCGAAATTTATAACTCTTTCCACCCGGGGAATCCCCGATTCACCTGTTCTCCTTTCGCACCACAGAAACAGACATTCTGTACATACATTTTCCGATAAAAACACGGACTGTTCGCGTGGAGATGCAGTGCAGCTAAAAGCTGTTGTCGTTGTCCTGACTTTTCAGGTATTGCTGAGAAAAACAGATAATTTGATGCGGTAAATGTTGCAGTTCAAAACGCTCCATTCAGGAAAGTTGAACAAGCATCGTTTCAAACATTCAAAGCCGCCAAGTCAACGTAGCCTCTACCAGGCTTCGCGTGGCTGCTGGAAAGATTGAAATTTGCCAAATAGAAAGATAACATGCAGAGGGATGGAGTTGGTCCGTTTGCGGCAAACTGTACTCTTCTAGCGGACCAACTCCCCCGGCATGTTATCTATCTATTTGGCCGATTTTTACTCTTTTCAGCCGCCTCTCGAAGCCTGTTAGAGGCTAGAATTAATGGCCTAAAGGAAGGAAACAGACACTGAGAATTGTTCGGTAATCTGTCAACAATATGTAGCCTGTAATGGCGGAATTAACTGGATATTTACAACGAAAAACACGTAAGAAGTAAAGCGTAAGAAGCGGCCCAATTTCTGGCTTCCGGGTTCGCCACCTAGCGGGAAGGAGTGTCACTGCAGCTTGACCCACCGAACAGGTGGTTGGGGCCAAGGTCAATGATTTTGGCACAAACTTTTAGAAAAATAGATTTTTTTCTTGCATCACACATTTTCAAGTACAATTATCTAAGTTAAACCATCGATTATCAATTAAGATCTTCTGTCAATAATGACCTTCCAGGGCCCACAGGTGCGCTAAGGATCATGGTCACGGTGACACAGTGACCGAGCGGCTGCTAGCATGGAATCAAACATGGAGACTCCATGCTGCTAGCCTACTTTTGTGTTTTTTCGTCCCTTTAAGTGTACCAGGTCGTCCCACAGTGTCGTGGGTAATGTCTGAGTGTTTTCTGCTATGAATTTCGGCCCCGTATTTCGACTATGCAAGCGTCTTATTCTTGTCATCGCCGTGTTTTCATCACATCCGGTATGTGCCCCCCCTCCCTTTGGTCATGAAAATGTCGTGTGTTTTACGCATTATTATTGGGGGGGGGGGCATAGTAAAAGAGACACCTGCCCAGTGTTATGTACTCTTGATGAATAGTACCATTTATGGTAAAAGTTTTAAAAGTTACTTTACCGATAGGCCTAGGAAGAAAATGTTGTGCTTCAGTTCTGAAAAGTTAGAGTCTGTAGGTAGGGATCTTTTTTTTTTAAATTTTTTTATTATTTTTAATCAGTCGATCTCTAGTGATCCGACTGTACAATACACCATACAGTTTATATTTTCAATGTCAATGTTGGAAAACCAATATGTTGTACAATGTTTCATCACTCAGGTGTCAGATCATGGAGCTACAAATGGTGGATTAGCTTGAAACATTTACGACCCTTGCAGGCCCCCGGTCCACAACACCACCCCCAAAAAAGGCTATCGTATCATAGCATGATATTTTATTTTATTTTTTATTTTATTTTATGACGATTTACCACATTGTGGAAGGATTGACATAACAGGTGACTATCACCTCTTCAAAGAAGTCAACCCCGAGACCAGACTGTAAGGTTTGAACCACTCACACCGGGAAGGTCCCCTACTCTTTTCAATAAGTTCTTTAACGTGCGTGGGGTGTGGCTCTCCCAAACACGGGACCTCCATTTAACGTCCTATCCGAGGGACGTCCCTAGCCGAAGCTAGGTACTCATTTTCACCTGAGTGAAGTGAGGGAAGTCGTGTGAAGTGCCTTTCCCAAGGGCTCAAGATCGGTGACATGGGATGATGGGCAGGGTTCGAACCCACGACCTCTCGGGTGTGAGCCGAACGCGCTACCGACTGCGCCACACGACCGCACAGTCTCAGATATGACAAATGTGTTTCCCCAGGTTTCTGGCCAGGTGTTCAAGACTCCCGACTGGTGCACAGATGACATCACCGACTCTGTCCGTCTTCCATCCGAGGTCACCTGTAACCTCTGCCCTCCTGGTAAGGAGAATCTCAACTTAGATCATGGTCTAATCATAACTTTAAAGCTTGGATTTTTTTCTGTCCACTCAACAACTGCGTGTGTGACATGTCAAAGAATAGAAATAATTTTCTAGACTGATTTAATTGATCTTATGCATTAATTTTTGTCATCATTTATAATATACATTATTCCTGGACAAATTACTAATTAGCTTATTTCTCAGTTTCTTTCAAAGTTATCCAGTAGAATCACAGTGGTCCCTAACTAAGTATGACTCAGCTGCGGATTGTATTACATGTAGTAAATAGAAATAGGTGATGTATGATATATTCAAGCTTGCTCACATCTTACTATGTAGGCTTCATTGTGACTTTGTAAAAGACCCGTGGTAGAACGTTGGACGTGGAAGACCGAATGTTTCCATCGATGCAGCAGGGTTGCCCACTTGCCCAGGGCAAGTAAAAGCACTGTTCGGGCAAGTAAATTTTTGGGATGTGGCATATTTTTATGCCCCAGTGTTTGGAGCAAAATTTCTCATCATTTTCCCATAATGACTATTCCCATAAGATGACTTTTTATCAGGGAACCATTTGCAAGTCTCAAACCTCCTTACTTTGGAAAATATTGGTCAAGCATAGAACAATATATAGTGCTGAGTTAACTGAAAAAAATTCTTTGCGTTAAAAATGTATGAAATAGGTCATTTTGCATTGGGCAAGTAAAAAGTTGGTTCGGGCAAGTAGAAATGACCATGTGCTTGCCAGATGGGGTAAGTGTTTTTGAAAACTTGTCCAACCCTGTGCAGGCACAAATTACGTTGTACAGGACTGTACCGCTGACATCCCCAGCCCACAGTGCTAGCTGGGAATTTTTTCTGTCCACGCAGCAACTAAGAACTAATTTTCAGGAGTGATTTAAATGATCCCTGTGCTTTCACTTGTGTCATCATATAATCATGTATGACATAATGTGTGACATAATATATGTATGTTGTATAATACATAATTCCAGCAAATTAGCTCAAGTTTCTCAGTTTATTTAAAAAACTATAAAAATTTATCCAATAGAACCACAGTGGTCCCCATTTACATGTAATTGACTCAGCTCGGGTCATTTGTATTACATGTATAGTAAATAGGTGATGTAGCTCGCTCACATCTTGCTACATTGTTAGCCGCGGCGACTGTTGCAGGGCTAATCTCTTGCTTGCAGTCTTGTACATTAGCCCTGTTGTTAGGGCTAATGTAAAAGACTGCAAGGAAGAGATTAGCCCTGCAACAGTCGCCGCGGCTTATGTAGAAGACATATCTGTGGTAAGTTTTGGACCAGGACAATGATTGAATGTTTCCATCCATGCAGGCACATACGTTATACAGGACTGTACTGCCGACAACCCTGACCCACGTTGCGAGTCATGTACAGCAGGCCGGTTCTACAACCCCTGCTTTAACTTCGCCAGCCGCTGCCTGTCCTGTAGCGACTGTACTCCGTACTTCAGCGCTGACGGCAGGAATGGCACAGTGGAGGGGGAGGACTGCACACCAACACGGGACAGGGTCTGCAGGTGTGTTAACTTGGGTCTACCTGCTCCTTAAGGCCTAGGAAATAAATGTTGTTTTCTATTTTAGTCCTGAAAGAAATTGCCACTGGGAATTGTCTTTTTTTTTAAGACTTTGGAAATCTGTAGTATCTCATATCAATACATTTTACCATAAAACTTGCACGATCTCAATGATATAAACACACAGGCCACACCTCCATCTTCTTGTGTTCTTTGGTCTCTACATCTGGTCTGGCTAAATCACTGTGAGTCATGGGACTTGCCTGTTCCAGGTGTTCCAGTAACGATTTCTGGGACTTGAAAACCTCCGAGTGTCGACAGAAAACTTCATGTGATAAAGGATTCGGAGTGGCCCATATAGGTACGTCCTGGTCTGTTATACTCTTTGTCTAAAATTTATAAGACTACGTATTCATCAGACGAGTACATATTGCAATCTTTTAGGTAACATTATGTCAGACTCTGTGTATGTTTTTGTGCAGATTTTCTTAAAAATTAAGTCATTAGCCAGATTTAATCCCATGTTCTTTGCTTAAAAAAATGTTTCATTCACTGTAAAAAAAAATCACTATATATACCCCAGGAAATTGAAAATGATAATACACCAAACTGAACATGTAAAATGAAAATGATAATCTCCTGTGTGCCCTACTAGCAACCCACAAGGCGGACACAGCCTGTATCCCATGTGAGGATGGAACCTTCTCGGACGAGAATTCGCTGACTCAGCAGTGTCGAAGCTGCACAGATTGCAGAGGTGGGACGTTACAGCCCTGCACCAACACTCAGGACACGCACTGTGACTTTCCTGGGCTGCAGAGTACTACCGGTAGTACCAGTCCAGTTTCAGGTTGGTGAGGTTTATTAGAACATAGCGTTTCAGTATGAAATACTCAATGTTTTTGCATACTGCATACCCTCTTGTGCATTTAGCCCATCTGGGCAAGAACATGCAATAAAGATTCATATCATATCATATCATATCATATCATATCATTATGTTTACCTAGTTTGCAGAAGGGAATGCTGCAAAAGGCCAGCATGTAGACACTTGTTGTTAATGTGAGTCATGTACAACCGCAAATTCACAATACCAGATTTGTATTCCTGTGGCTTTGGTTTAGCAGCATTTTTTTGGCTGGACTTTTTTTTTTTTATTATTTGCTTGCTCGCATTAGTTTTTGGGTCTTCTGAGGATGTTATCCATAAAATTACCATAATTCAGTGTGGCCTTAATGTACCAAACTGTGAGGAACTGGGAGAGAATTACAGTCATTCAAGTATAACAGTGGGGTTAATAAGCGGCTACTAACTGATCTATCCGGTCTGGACCTTTTGGAGTAGTCGTTAGTGTGCTGGTGTCATAAGCTGGCTGCCCGGGTTGGATTCCCGGAGTCCTGAGGGAGGCAGGGGTTTTCCTGTGTCTTCTCGCTCCTAGTTGTTTACTGATGACTGTTTTCTAAAGCAGAGACATTTTCCCTGTGCAGCTCAGTCCAGATCAGTGCCCCAGGTCCCAGTGCCGGTAGGTTCTACCAACACGGAGGCCGTCATAGGGGGGTCTGTGGGAGGCTGTGTGCTGTTCCTGCTGTTCCTGGGCTGTTTCTGGTGGAGATGCCGCAGGACAAAACAGCTCTCAACACCAGCAAGCATCAGGAGGAGGCCAAGTCTGTCTGACTCTGAAGGTTGGTCGACTCATCAGAATTCAAGGTTCTGGGTTTGAATTCCTGGCAGGAACCACAGTAATGGTTGTGTCCATGGGAAAAACACTTAACACCTATTTCCTCACTCAACTCAGGTAAAAATGAGTACCTAGCTTTGGCTAGGGACGTCCTCTCAGGTAGGACGTAAATCCAGAGGTCCCGTGTTTGGAGAGAGTCACACCTTGAGCATGATAAAGATCCCACCGCACTTATCGAAAAGAGCTGGGGACCTTCCCGGTGTGAGTGGTTCAAACCTTACAGTCCGGTCTTACACAGTTAAATTGTGCTACTGTACAAACTGGTGTGAAAATTATCACACTGCAATTCAAAACTTGGCATTCTATTCTATTCTATTCTATTTATTCTAGTTAAGTATTTTTGTTCTATATTTTGAACATAGGAATTTTGTTGATATTACCTTTTTTCTGCTTGTTTTAGACATTGAGATGAATGCTGGAATGCTTGCCCGGGCCCCAGAAGTCCCTTCCCTTCCCGACCCGCCACCCCTCCCCCCACCCCGAATCCAGGTACGCTCAAGTCACAACGGTCTTCAATATTTCATTCACATTCACTAGATAATTGTCAGTTTGATGCCCTTGTGACAACTGCAATAACTGTGTTCCCTAATTTACTTTTACTACTTTTCATTACTACTTTTCATTATTGTAGATAGTATTGTATCGTATTGTATTTTATTGTTTTGTTTCATTTACCCGTTACCTAAGTTATTTCTTATTTATCCGATTTATTTGAATTGTTACATGTAATCACGTTATGAAGGGAGGCCTCCTCATTAGCATTTTTATGCTTCCGGCCTCCCTGCACTGTTACATTTCATTTATATTTTCTTGCATCTGTATTGTTACATTTTATTTTAAAGTGCGAATAAAAACTGAACTGAACTGAACTGAATTCTGACACTGTTTCAGATTCACCGACTTTCCCTAAGAAGATATCTGATGATGGTAAGCTTTATCACTTTCACGTTTGTTCAAATTGACCAAAGAAATCATGTCATGTTCTTACATTACCTTTTTTTCTTCCTTGTTAAATCATCACCATCAATCTATAAAAAATCCATGCATTAGTAAAATAGTAACTTGCATCATTCTTAAAGAGCCTGGAGATGTGTTCTAATTGTACTGTACTGCAGTTAATATTCAGTGCCTCTGAAACATTTGTTTCTCTGTGTAGGATGCTGCAGACCCTTAATGAACACAGAAGACCCCGGACCTCCCAACAATGCTCATGACATCTATGAGAGTATGTATGATTTTGTACATGTACAATCCACCGTGTCAACCGTCCTCACTCAGGTGTACTGGGACTGACACGGTCATACTACTCAGAAAGTCTGTTATCATTCTGTACATGAATCTGTATCTGTGCATTATCAGACTATGTATCTGTACATGAATATGTATCTGAATGCAAATAAAGATCACGAGTGATATAGCCATTAACAATTTATACCCCAGTTTATTTTGGGTCTCAATTAGATCCTGTACACCCTCAAATCTAGCAGCCTGATCTCTTACAGAAAATAATTCTGAAGTAAAAAAACTATCGGAAATTATATGAAGGATATCCTTCTTATTACAGAGTTTCACAAACTTTATTTTAGCCTCTCAAGCTTAAGTACATTTTAGGGGGAAAAAAGGATAAATCTCTGATGAAATGTCATGCAAAGAAATTAAAACATTTTATTGGGGAATTCAGTCATGTTTATTAAGTTAATATCATTTTGCATCAGATGGTGCGAAATGTGAACTCAAGTCTGAACCCTCAAAACCCTTTTGTCGCTTTTTTACCACACACTACCCTGGACCTTTGCTGCAGAAGAATCGGTGTGTGATCGATAACACAATTATTTTTGTTTCCCAGAGGAAGCGAACCCCCACCCCCTGCAGCCCATCTCACTTCAGCCTGAGGATGTCCTGCCACCAGGAGGCAGGCTGGAGCCGGTGGGGTCCAGCTCTGATGACGTGTCCTTCCGTAACCCTGTACAGAACGTGTAGCATCCCTGACACCACTAGCCTGGGTGCCAGCCCCTTTCCAGTGTATGATAATTTCCTTGGAAGCCACACGCCCCGCCAGGCCCCATTCGATAGCATGATAGATAAAGGAGGGCCTGCAAGCCCTTTTTCGTAAGGCGTAATCAGGCCGTTTTAGACTTCGTAATTCGTAGGCAGCCTCCACAAAAATCAACGTAATTCGTAATTGGACATTAGCCGCAAATCGTAAAGTCGTAATCAGCTCTGAGACTTAAACGTAATTCGTAATAGGCGGCAAAAATTTTGCGTAATCCGTAATCACTACCCCCCCTTGCAGGCCCTCATAAAGGGCTTGGGCAGATACTTTTGTAGTGGACATTAGGGTCCCCCCCAAAATATCTTCATGTATCTCTTACCAAACACCAGGAACACGGGAAGCCATACCCCCCACCAGGCCCTAGTTGGCACCCTCTGAAAGATAAAGGGCTTGGGCAGATACTTTTGGTAGTGGACATAAGCTTAGGGTTTCTCCCCCCATGCAAGAAATCTATCGCTTATGAAACGCCAGGGTCTGGCACCCAGGCAAGACACCACTTGTACTAACTTGCTGCACGTTAACTGAATGATTTATCAATATTCACTGTTTGGCTATCTCTGTGGGTATAGCAAGCTATATCAATTCAATAACCCCACCATATATTTGTTGCAATTGCGGCTCAGAACCAAGAGGTCACGGGTTCGAATCCTACCCATTCCACCGAACGTGTGCCCTTGGAAAAGGCACTTTACACGACTTTCCTCACTTCACAGGTGGAAATGAGTATCTAGCTTCGGGTAGGGACGTCTCTCGGATAGGACGTTAAATGGAGGTCCTGTTTTTGGGGAGAGCCACACACATTTAAGAACCCACCACACTTATCAAAAAGAGTAGGGGACCTTCCCGGTGTGAGTGGTTCAAACCTTACAGTCCAGTCTTATGCAATGTACATGTGCGTTCATGTACAAAACCGGTGTGTTTCGCCTAAAGGCGGTTTACCGGTTATGGAAAAAAATGTTTAAAAAGATTGAGGTCTTCCACCATCAAGAGGAATGCCATGTGTTTAAGCTTCATGTATTTTTTTTTTTTGCACTGACTTTCATAAGTCTTAGAGAACTTTTTATACCTGTAAGATCATTTGATAAAATTTGTTTGTTTCCTTGTTCGTCAGACAAAAAGCAATTAAAAAGCAATATGCATGTACAACTAGAAGACTGAGGTTTTATTTAGAAGAGACATTTGTACTCAATGAGTAGAGATTAAAGTGGGCTTATTTTAGATGTATTTTTACATGTTTTATCTGGCATTTTTTGACAGCTATCCAACTTGTCCTACTTGGGTTGCTTATTGGATACTGCTCTGTCAGTTTGATACTGTCTTGCCATTTCAATACAATGATACACTACCAGCTGATATAAGGCACATAACAACTTTACAACTGTACAAAGCAGCCTTGAGATGCAAGCCTCGTGAAACATCCATTTTATCCTTACTGCCCTCTGTGAAAGGTACTTACCTATTTCTTCATTTCGATCTTCATACAGAAATAAAAACACACACACCACAAATAACATCATGGTAAAATATTTAGCACAAAAGGAAATTTACTTTATGTACAAATGAAAGGAACATAATTTACATACTAGTCACAAAACATTATGAGCAGTTGGCGGATCTATTGGAAATTTGTGGTACTAGTAGTTTGTTCCAAAAGGTAGATTGCCCGGCACTCAAATGTTCTCTCTTTAATGCTTGTTTTTGGTTTTGGACGCCTGAAACTGTTCAATTCTATTCTATTCGGTTGAAAAGCCAGCTGAAGGCAAAAGCCACCGCTGCGATAGCGGCAGAGACCGCCGTGTCTGCCTGTACGGTGGGACTGGCGGACACCAGACAGCAGCCGGCCTGGGAGCAGCAGTCGCGCGGACATGTGCCCTCGGTCCTCTGGCAGTCCCCCGGGTTTTTCTCCGGGCAGCAGTCGAACGGACAGGTGGTGGTGTTCTCAGCTTTGTCACAGGTGTCGTCACCGCAGAAAGAGGCAAGGCTCCTCCTGGAGAAACGGAACATTTTCATGGCAGGAACCTGCACGCTGACTATAATGCTTCCCATGCGCCAAAAAAAACAACACAGTTTCTCAAGCAACTGATCATGACAAAATCATATGAACGTATCCAGAACCATATCCAGTTGTTTGAGTAACTGTTTTTGGCGTATCTTATTACCTGGATGTCCAACCTTCACCGACGTAATGCTTTCCATGGTTTCTTGGGAAATACACATTATTATATCAAAATAATCTCAGATCAGTGCTCCAAATCAACCCAATCGCGGCATGTAAAACGGACGCTACGAATTTACTTCTCCCTTAATCTTATTATCTCTAAGACTCGTGCGGAAGACTTTTCAAATTCCAGGTCATTTTGCTCTTATTGCAGTTGGAACTGACAGGAACCTAGGTCCAAATCCTAAAACTACTTAAGTATATATGTCATTTCATTTTGAATTTGCTGTTAATACCAATGCACAGGAGTCCAAAATAAAAAGAAATGGTGTGAAAATAAATAGCAAAAATAATTTCAAAGGCATCCATCAAAGCAAAAATTAGAAAACAAAGTCTATTAGAAAGTTGACAAATGTTGGGAAAGGCGCAAGTCCATATTATTATCTTACCTGGCCTTCTGTGGGAAGTATTTCTTACAGCGATGCTGGAAGCAGTAGCTGTGGATCCAGCAAAAGCCAGGGTAACTGGAGTACTTCTCGTTACACCTGACAAAAACAGCAAGTCGACGTCAGTTCTGACCAACTGAGCTGATGTCATTCACTTACTACATCCGTCAAAAATGGAGGTATTTGTAGATTTATTGTTTGAGAATAAACACAAAACAGTATGTCCTATCCTGGCCCGGAACCTTGCTTGCTGCCCGGTGTGCCACAGAGCAAGTATTTTCTACTCGTTGAAGAGGTTAAGAGTCACGTATAGATAAACAGTTAGTAAAATATTCATCAGTCAGTGACTTTTGTGGTTTTGAAAAGTAGCAAACATGTGCCGCCAAATTTTGGAAGTCCATGAGACTAGGTCACTCTGTGATCAAAGATAAGGTATACACTGGACGTAAAAAATTTGAGGTACGCGTTTGCTACCTTTCAAAACAGCCAATGATTGATGAATGTTCTACTAACTGTTCTTTCTACTCACATTTCCTGCACATGACTTTGCCCAGCGCAGCCTCCACATCTGAAGTAACTAGCGCGCGTGCCGTTCCCCTGGTCAGCGCCGCAGTGGCCGCAGTACTCCCCGGTAGTTCTACCCCGGTACGTGGTCTAAAACGCCATGAAAATCGGCATCCTTATAGATTCGTTTATTCATTATTCGTTCTAAACTTTTCGCAGGTCATGTGAATAATGTTCACAGAAACTCCTGACAATTTTAGATATGACATTAACAACTATGATACCAGTAACACTACATGACTTAAAACATGGATGATATCACAATTATAATACTTAAAAAGACCTCCCTGGAAGTAGTGTGGTATAGCCTTTTAGTTCCATAGTCTTCAGCAGCTGTTGACGAAAGGCGATGCTATACCACATACAGCACGGGGTGTTTTTGTTTCAATGCCTTAAAATATAGACAAAATGAAAAAAAAACACACCAATAACTACCCATATACCGAAAATCAAATCCGTCAAACCCATCGTGACTTATAGCTGCGAACACAAAGCGAACACAAAGCGAAAACACCACCCTCCCAGTAAATATCTCCTTCCTCAAGATTATAAACTTGAAGGTGTTAACAATTATAGTCGTATCATTTACATTGTCATTGTTTAGCTTGAAAAAAAAACACCTAGAGTAGAACAAAGGTGATTGGACCAACGGAACGCAGCCGGACCTATCCGAACACGGACGCACACTTTTTCTTAGTCCTAAGACTCCTAACCCACTGTTATCTTGTGGAAATCGTGGCCTCAGACGTTCCAAATTAAAACATTATCGTGTCCAGAACCGCGGCTATCTAGTTCTGTGCCTGAGCATGGTTTTGGATAAAGCACGATTCTGGATAAGCATGGACAATCCAGAACCGTGTCTGAGCATGATTCCGGATGAAGCGCGGTTCTGGATTCAAGAAAAGTGGCCCACATACCCTGTCACATGTGGGGTTTCCGCCGCTCTCGTCACAGTTGTTGCAGCAGACGTAGAAGTGTGTGTGGAAAACGCCGCCCCCCTTGATGTGGCCACATTTCCCTACAGACGGTGCGGGGACCGTGCGGACCTGCCGCCCCGACTCCCGGACAGGCCCCGTCTCACGGCCCGAAGACTGGACAAGCAGGACGGCGGTGGTCGCAGCCACGCACACCCAACCAAGCGGCGTCATGGCTACAACCTAATGCCAACTGTGGAATTTGGAAGGCGACGCAAAACTCGAGCAAATTTCAAACCATCCCTCCTTCAAGTTGGCAGAAGGAAGTTTCACTTTCGGAGTGACGTTTTACACCGTTCTTAACTTCATCGCCGTGTATCAATGCGCGATATCCTTACAAGGAAAAGTCCACGGCGTTTTCTCGTCGCCAAATATCAATACTCCCTTGCCATAAAACATTAAGTCTCTTGATATAAAATATAAAGATCAAAATCTCTCCTCTTTATATCGAATATATATATATATATGTGTGTGTGTATGTTTCCACATCAGATGGTTGTAAAGGATAAACCGGTAGGTCTTAGTTAAGTTACATCCCCGGGTGTAGTCGATCCCTAGGACGAGAAACGTAACCTTATCCGTGAAGCATTGTGGTACGACGTTATGTCACTTATTGTTTACCCTAATCCTGCACACCTGTTACACAACCACGCTCAGGCACGGTTCTGGATACGATAGAGACTATCCAGATCCGCGCCTGAACCTAACCCTAACCCATTCAGGCATAGAACTAGAAGGACACTGTTCTGGACGCGATAATGTTTTATTGTCCAGACAGCAGCCGGGCTCGGCGCAGCAGAGAGGCGGACACTTGCTGCAGTGGTGTGGATACAGAACCGTGCCTGGGCCAAATCTGCGTTCTTGGATATCGGATAGGGACTATCCAGAACCGTGTCTGAGTCTTACCTACCTCTTTCAGGCATAGAACTAGATAGGCAGGGTCCTGGATACGATAAAGACTATCCAGAACCATGCCTGCGGCAAATCTACGTTCTTGGATACGTGTCTGATCCTAACCTAACTCATTCAGGCATAGAGCCAGATAAGCACGGTTCTGAAAGCGATAATATTTTATTTTTGAACGTCTTGACAGCCACAATTTAGTCTTTAGTCCAGACAGCAGCCGGGCTCGGCGCATCAGAGCGGCGGGCATTTCCTGCAGTGGTGCGGGTACAGAACCGTGCCTGGGGCAAATCTGCGTTCTTGGATACGTGGATTGTGAATTTCCGATTGGGAATATCTTGCTGATTCTGTCTATGGGTGTTCACAAGGGCTCACATAAAACAACAGATATAGCATATAGCTGTAAATTGAAGATAGGAAATGAGATAACTTTTTCTGGAGCCTTTCTGGGACCTTTTACCTAACTTCCTGTCAGTCTCCACGACGTGACTAGCATGTGGAACGGAAACACAAACAGACAAACAGACGCAGCGAAAACAACAGACGACGTCACGGAAAAGCTCGGCTCGGCTGTCTTATTACTCCCTCGGCAGGAGTAATAACAAAACCCAAAGTCCACATAATAAATAGCAGTTATTATTTGAAATACTGTTTTTATGGCTTCACCACTATGTGGTGAAGTCATATTGTTTTTCCTCATGTTTCTTCTTCTTCTTCTTGTTCTTCTGCCATTACATTAAATGGATTCAATTTTTTCATTTTTGAGCCAAATGACATGAAATTTGGCATGAAGGTAGAGTAGGCAAATACCCCCAGGCGATTTTTTTTTTGGAAAAATTGTTTTATTTTCATTTTTTTGTGCTATTTTCGGACAAAAATATACATTTTGGGATCTGGAGCCCTGGTAATAAAACCAAATGACCTGAAATTTGGTATGGGGATACCTTAAAGATAAGATTTCATGCAGTGTAATGTTTTCTCATCTAACCACAAAGAGGAAAATTCGACGGAAACCCCGAACCCCAACTCACATCAAGGACCATCTCACTTAATGGTTTGCCGGAAGCAATTAGGACTAAAACAATCTTAAAACCCTTGTCCTGTTGGCATTCCTGGCACAGTATTTTTTAAATAATTTCATGTCTTAATTAGATCATAGACCCTCAATTTTTTTGCCCTGCAGTGGCATAGTTACTTCCGCATTCGTTGCGTTTCGCTGCGGTGTGATGCGTTGCACGAGAAATACCCCCAAATCACCACAGGGTGCTATATAGATGGTACTGTAAATGCAGAACAACAATTGCTGCGCTTAGCAGGACAAGCGTGAAGGGGTCCTAAGAGAGGCTGAAAAAGGGACGCGGGATTCGAGCCTTTTCCCCTGCCCCTTTTAAACTATTTTAAGCGAGGGGAGAGTCGGTAAGATATTTTGCTAACTGCTAATTCGTCCTTCAAAATATACAACGACAATAAATATCCCATTACCATTTTTATTTGCATTTTTCTCGCGCTTGTTTGAACAATGTTCAGTCATTCTACCAACTCACAATCAGTACAATCTCTTTCTTCTACAGGCAGCATTGATGCATTTCTATGCATGGCGTTCAGTTTATAATAACTACATATGTCTATATGTCTATATAAGTGCAGTGGCACCAAAGAGCTAGTCCCAAAACAAAGTAAGCTATGCTAATATCTAAAGATACTAATATTTCCTTAATCTAATCTAAAGCTAAAGATTTCCTTAATCTCCAATCACTATGTATAACATACATGCATGTCATATTAGCAAATTGTACTTTTATTACGCCATGAAGTATCTAATACATTAACCATAATTCTATCTTTCTGAACAACAGTTTATTGCAGGTAAAATTTTAGTTGGCCAGGTACCAAATAAAAGTACCAAATGGCTACTCTATGCAGAGAAGTAGTTGTCTAATATGTGTAACTTGCCTGATTCTTTAGCGTCAGCAGTGTTGGATGAAATTTTAAAAGTAGACACCATATAAAAGATTCTCTGCCAAACAGCATTGAATTAAATCTAAAATTAGCATTGAAAATTCTACTTTAGCTAGCGGACTGATATAAAAGCCTTTCTTTTAACATTCTAGTTGCATAAAGCTTACTTTGCTGGCCAAGCAAAATAAGGCTTAAAGCAAATAAGCTACGTATACACTACGTAAAGACGATTGGCGGAATGGAAGTCACGTGATTACTATCCGTCAATCATGTCCTCGAACTCTTTCAGCACTTCCGCTACTTCTTCCAGCCCGTCAGGCTCCGGAAGTTCCTGGAATTCTTCCAGCCCGTCGGGCTCCGGAAGATTCCGGATTTCCTCTAGCCCGTCAGGCTCCGGAAGATCCTGGAATTCTTCCAGTCCGTCAGACTCCAGAAGGTTCCGGATTTCTTCCAGCCCGTCAGGCTCCGGAAGTTCCTGGAATTCTTCCATCCCGTCGGGCTCCGGAAGATTCCGGATTTCCTCTAGCCCGTCAGGCTCCGGAAGATCCTGGGATTCTTCCAGACCATCAGATTCCGGAAGATCCTGGAAATCTTCAAGCCCTTCGGACTCCGGAAGATCCTGGAATTCTTCCAGCCCGTCAGGCTCCGAAATATCCTGGAATTCTTCCAGACCGTCAGATTCCGGAAGATCCTGGAATTCTTCCAGCCCTTCGGATTCCGCAAGATCCTGGACGTCTTCCAGACCGTCAGATTCCGGAAGATCCTGGAATTCTTCCAGCCCTTCGGACTTCGGAAGATCCTGGAATTTCTCCAGCCCTTCGGATTCCGGAAGATCCTGGAAATCTTCCAGCCCTTCTGGATCCGGAAATTCCCGTATTTCCTCAAACCCGTCAGGCTCCGGAAGATCCGGAATTTCCTCCAGCCCTTCTGCCTGGATGTTGGAGGTGTCCCGGATGTCGGACAGGTCCCGGATGTGCTGAAGTTGTTGGTCGATCTCGTCCAGGACGAGTGACACCTCCCGGGTGGATTCCTCCCCATCGTCGATAGCGTCGGTCGTCAGCTCGGACATGGAATCCAACATCTATATAGACGAGGGATAGATAGTTATATTCAGCGTCAGCTTTCATAGGTACAATATAGTCCAGAATAGACTCTGTCAATACTGTAACATGAATAAAATAGAAGATGAACAACACTTTATTTTAGATCATTTTAGATTTTGTATCACAAACATGATCTGTTCCCCCATTTTCCATTGTACAAAAAAGCGAGAAGAAGTTGACCACTCTGTATTAGCTCAGTATACGTAACTAGAACACTTTGTACTAGCCTAGTATAGCATCCTTGTATGCTCCCTATGTATGTATGTCTAAGTCAAGTAGTGTATCTTTTGTCTCCACTATTCTACATACGCCTGTTATGTGTCTGTTAAATCTTGACCTGTACCTAGCCCGTCGTGGCATGAATGTACAATAAGGTATTTCATTTCAATATAATGTCCATCTGGTGATAGTTTAACACATGCGATTCGTTACTGTTTTATTACATGGTTTACAGTACATGAACATGGTTTACACTAGTTTAAATAGATATGTCACGATTATACTTCAAATGCGAGTTGTAAACAAATACAAGTATGTACATAACGTACATGGATTCGACTTATAGAGGGGACGTCCAATATTGGACACTGGACAAGACTACTTCCTGAGAGGGGTGAAAGAGGCTATTTACATCAGGGCCCATCACCCTTCATTGAACCGCGACGGGGGCCGACATCGTCTACCAGATACCTTTGACCCAGTGTTGACGTCACACTTCAAAGAAGCCACGTGACAAGCCCCACTGGGTCAGTTGACTGAGGAAGACCAGAGTGACTGGTCGAAAGCTCTAGGTGAGAGAACTTTTTTGTGTTGGATCAAAGGTTTTAACTTTAAACATGTATATACCAACACAGATTAACTTTCATGATAGAGGGGGCATCCTCATCATTTTTAGTCAATTGCTATGTTGCAATCGAGAAATCCCACCTCTCTCAGACGCATGGCGGCGTCCTCCCCAGTTTCCGTCTGTAGGGTTCCCAGGCCCAGGTTCTTCCGTCCTTCCAGTTCGTCCATCAGCTCCCCCGCCGTCCGCTTCAGGTACTGCAGGCCGTTCTCTACTTCCGCTCCGATGTTACGTCTGCCCTTGTCACCTGTACATCGAAGATGAGTTTTTGTGTATCCAAATTCAGAAATGTAAATAGGCTTCTGAAGTTGTAGAGGTGAACAAGAAGGTTTTTTAACATAACTAACTTGGTAAAAGTCAGACATTCGTGATCTCATTGTCTTACTATTCGATGATATAGACTTACGTGGAGAACCCGTGCATCCACTAGTCACTCTGTCTCCTGAAAGATAATGAAAAAATGGAGTTAAAAAATAATATATCAGAGGACGTAGACTATAAAGCACTAACGTCTACCAACCACATCTATGTCTGGATGAGAATTTGAATATTGAATAAGAAATATGACATTGCAGTCTTTTAAATTTTCTCTAGGGCATCTAGATCTACTGCTTGCAGGTATGAACAGAGCCGGGGGGCAGAGGGGGGAGACAGAAGAGCCACCTTGCGGCAATGTATAGTCAGTAGTATATAGTAGTATTGCAGCAGTAGTATAGTCTATTCCAGCTCTATGGAGGGTAAAAACGTCAACTAGGTAAATACTTTCAAGTTAGTGTTGCAAGAACCCTACCCTATATTCCAAGTCTTTCTTATGTTGGTCGCACATGTTAGTTGTAACAATCTTGCAGCTATATGCCCTACTCCTCCCATAAGCATCACAATGGTAAAAGTAATCTCCAATCAGAAAGATCATACGGTGGCAAGGCAATATCCATTGGCCAGAGGAGTGTCCATTAACCATCTAGATCTGCTGACAATCGAAAAGTTAAAAGGCTGAACACCCTGTTGTTGCCTGGAGATTAGAAAAAAGGGCCTACCTGTTTGACAGATGAAGTACTGTTTTGAGTTGCAGGCCAGGTCGTTCCACTTGCCACAACAAATGTTAGTACTTCTGTATGTACATGCATAGCTCTGTCCTAATGACCACGTACCCCAAGATCGTTTAGTCCGATCCAGTAGTTCTTGCTACTGTCCACCGTCTTGACGACCACGGCGGAGATTTCAGCTGTTTTCAGGTCAGCCAGGCTACCGCCGTCCTGTTTACACCGCTTCTGGGCCTCGGAGTACGTCTTCGCTTCATTGTAGACTGTGAAGTGTGTTCTGCCTCCTTTTCCTCCTCCTCCCCCTCCTCCTCCACCACCTCCGCCGCCTCCTCCTTCTCCTGGTAAGGTTAACAAAATAAGGATATCTCTCTGCATGACAAGGTGTCTACCCTGCTGTCCCTCATACTAGTGACAGTAAAGTGTATTCGTATATATACATTGTAGACAAACATTGAGACAAGAATTGAAAGTACACCAAACTAACACCCCGCATACATGTATGGCCACCCCAACACAGCCATAGGTAGTGCAAAAGTGATAATCATACCAAAATGAAATGGTACAGAGACGGCGCTACTGTTTCTTTAGAAAAATTTCAGTAGACACTTCTGTAGGCCTTTGCCACGCTGCATTTCACGTTTTTATTGTCAGTAACGTTGGCCACTGCTTTGCGAATGTACATGGTGACATCCTGGAGAGAGCTTCTGAATCAGTACAGTGGAACCTATATATAGCTACAACCTGCATTTGCTTTCACATCGAGGGTTCTTTGGTGCTGAGGAGCTGGTCACCATATCATACACATGTATGGCACTGCCAGCCTTACCTTACTAAAAACGTCATGACAAATTTGATATAGCCAATTGAAGGGATTGACGAAGTAGCTGTCCAAATTTGGTATTAATGATGGTTTATTCGGTGGTTATAGGAATTGAGCAGGCCTATCACCATCGCATCATACACCTCTAGGCGGGACAGTAACCCATTTCCAGTTTTACAGAGACAGTAAGAAATACATACACCACTACCACAGAACACAGAATTAGACAGCTTCACACTGGCTGTATATATAACATCTGTGTGCATAATATCACCAGGGTCCATAATATTGCCACCTTGAGAAATAGTGTGCTTTAAGATATTTTTTACTGCAACATATCCTAGGTATGTCCATTTGAGGTGTGCAGGAGTGCATAGCAAAAGTATGTTGCAGTTAAAATATCTTTAAGCACACTATTTCTCAAGGTGGCGATATTATGGACCCTGGTGATATTATGGACGCAGATGTTATATATATTATGCCATCTCTATCTTACCACCTCCCTGTAAGCCAACCACAAACACCGGTACCCCTAGGCCTTAGTACAGAACGTTGGGAAACACCTCTGACTGTTTAAATGGATCTTTAGTACTACCGTTACAGACGACTTCTAGCACTTTGTCTCTGATCCGGTCCAAGTCCTCAAAATCATCAGCAGTCGCCACGTAGTCGTTATTAGACGCGATGAGCTATAAGATATGACAACTCTGACTTATGTTGTCTTAGTTTAAAGCACGCATCGACATAGAAGAAAAGAAAATGGTGAAGTTATGGTAGCTGTTATGTAACTAATTATGTTTTAAAAGTACAGATAGGTCCAATAGCCTTTTTCAGGCCGTATAGGGGCATTTGTTTGTTAGTCCACTGCGTCTAGGGTACGGTATATAGGAAGGCGAGACCTATCACTCTTCTTTCACCAACTTGTACCTTTCCAACCGAAGTCAGGTCATGTACAGCTGGGTGGAGTGAGGAAAGTGTAAAGTGCCTTTCCCAAGGGCACAACGTCTTGCCACGAATGCAAGGAATCGAACTTTGGCCCGTGACTTCTCAATTTCGTGGCCGCTAGCTTCAACATGTCAAGATAGAATACATGGCCTGGAACAAATATACATGTAGATAAATAACTCGCAACTTTAAAGCCTATCCTCACCTGAAGTTCGCTCATTTTGTACTTGGCCACGCCCACAGTGAACACGTGAGCGCCCTTGTTCTTGACGTACTGAGCAGGCTCTCTCACTTGATCGGTGGCCTTCCCGTCTGTCACTAAGATGATAATCTTCAAAATAATATTTGTGCCATGTTAGTACAGAACAATCATTGGTAAATGAAAGGAAATCATCTTCATATCATATTCTTCTTTCATCATTGTTTGATGTTTGTTGTGGGTTGTTTGACACCTGTGTGTTTAGTTTCCTTAAAAGAAAGGCAGACAATATATTGTGAGTACTGAAAAAAACTTCGCCAAAAATAGATAAAAGTCTTATTTACCTTTTCAGCATCATCTCGAGCACCGTTGGCCGTGGTGAACTCATTGTAGACCGCCTTCAGAGACTGTCCAGTCCTGGTGTACAATGCATTCATGTACTCAATCTTCCTGATAGCTTCCAGCAATGCCTGTGTGGAGATGGAAAGAATACCGTTGAATCATCATATAGCCATATCACCACAGTTTAAAGTTAAAACTTTTGTTCCAACACAAAGAAATGTTCTCACCTAGAGCTTCTACGATAGACTAGCCCAGTCAGACTTGTCACGTGACTTCTCGGAAGTGTGACGTCAATACTGGGTCAGAGAAGCCACGTGACGAGTCATTGGGTCAGTCAACTGAAGTAGACCAGAGTGACTACCCTAGAATCCAGAACTCGTTTTCCGGGCCGCAAGAGCCCTTCGCCCGCTGGTGTAAATTACCGCTACGGGGGAGTCTAGCCTGGGGGG